TTTTTTTCTCTTTTTAATTGTATTTCTAGTAAAATGGCAATGGCAAAATAACAATTCGATGTACTATGAACTCTATTAAAGAAAGGCAACTCTGAAAATGTCACAACAGCATTTCATCACTGGAGGTATACTGACGTGTTGGTTCTGTTAGATTTAAATAGTAATAAGTAAACAATGTAAAGGTAGTCTACTTAATGAAAAATTTACCGTTTGTCTTCCAAATTAACTTATATTTGTATTTTTAGGTTAATCTATTTTCAATTGTTTATGATTTAATACTTGTGAATTATGAGAACTTACAAATAAAAACATATTGGGAAAAAAAAAAGGCAAGATGGCCCATACAAGAGGCACATGAAGCCCAAAAAAGAGGCCTAAGGCCCAAGGATTCCTATGATGATAAAGCTAAATTGAATAGCGCAAATTCTGAGGTTTCCTTTTTTACAAAAAAAAAAAAAAAAAAATTGTACAAATGTGAGCCTTACAATCTGACGAAGTCTGCATCCTATTTCCTTATAAAATTAAAGTTACCATTCTAATGGAAAAAAAAAAATTAACTGATACCATTATATAGGTTTCCATTCACTAAAGCGCTTGAGCATGAGGGAAAAAAATCATCGATCCTAATAAATGTGCTTTAAATGTTTCAGTCAGCACTTTGTTTGTTTTTACTTTTTTTAAATACTTGCTTTTCAGAGCATTCAATGGCTCAGATTGTATTCAGTGACACTGAACTGACAAGTAAAGGACCTCATTCCTGAACACGGACCCACGCCACTGCGCGGTACAGAGGTTCCTTTAAAGAAGAAGATAATTGCATCATACGAGCATCCATGTGATACCAATTGTTTAAGTAGGCCCCAACACTGACCTGCGACGTCACAACCTGTGGGCAGTTTAGACCAATAGCTCATTGCCACGTCGTACAGACCTACTATGACGATTGGTCTCGAGAGATCACGTGTTAATGTAGTCGTGCATGTCAGTATCACCGTGAATCAGCAGAGTTAGAACCGCTCAGGGCCGCCCCTTCTACGTGGGAGGCCCGTGTACCCTTGCTTTAGAGGTGACTCTTCGGTACATTGGATCTAACAAATAAAAGGTGGAATTACAAACCACCAGGCCTTATTTAGGTGGCCCACGCCAACTCCAAATAGCGCCCGGATCACTTAAAATAGATGATGTTTGGAACGCAAACGAGAGCTTCAATCCCGCCCGGGTTCACCTCTCACGCTTCGACAAGCACCAGTGACTCCGCTCTAATGTTAGGTCCTGGAATGCCATCTGAAACCCATGGGGGGAGTCGTCTCGCTTCACGGCCTGTTGGCTCTATGCTCTGTTTATCGACTGACTTTGGGGGAAAGTGCAGTGTAAAGAGGAACAAGGACACGGCTTTGTATGGAACGTCATGTTTGTCTTGCATTTGTCTGCTTCTGTGTACTTGAATCTAAAAAAAAAAAAGTATTTTGAGAACTGGCTGGGAAAATTAATGGGAAATAAAATATGCGCATGTCCTGGAACTTTATAAATTCGATAATATCCCTATTTGACGGAGGATATTTCTAAGGGTTCTCCAAACTAGAAGCCCATGTTCTAAATAAGAATGCTCTAAAAGTGTCGTCTGGACGAGACGTTTTCTTTTACATGTTTCAGACGCTCATTCAGAAGATTATTACCATCTACAATAAAGAAAAAGGGGGAGGCGCGGTGGCTGAGTGGTTAAAGCACTTGGTTTCCGAACTGTGGGTCCCGGGTTCGAATACTGGTGAAGACTGGGATTTTTACTTTCTTCAGGCGCCTCTGAGTCCACCCAGCTCTAATTGGTACCTGACATTAGTTGGGGAAAAGTAAAGGCAGTTGGTCGTTGTGCTGGCCACATGACACCCTCGTTAGCCGGGGGCCACAGAAATAAATCTGCCCTATAGATCACAAGGTCTGAAAGGGAACTTTACTCTTTTTTTACATTAATAAACAAATGTTTGTTGCATATTCACACAGACCCTTTTTTTTAAGCTTATTATCATGTTTTAAATATAAACGTTAATACATTCTATAACAGACATGAATGGAACGAGGTCCACTTTGTACATATTAAATGGTTACAAGACGTGCTTTTAATATCTTGCCAACCTGCCTGCAATGAGCCGAATATGGCCGGCGCCGGAGCTAATATCCGGTGCACCCCTTATTGTTACAAAAGTCAACTACATTTATTTGATTTCATACTAACTCGATATTGTCAACTTTATAAATAGAGTACCACCTTGTCCTTCAAAGGCACTTATTAGTTAAGATACATCACGCTTACAACGGGTTAGTTGTCTACCAGCAACTTGGTGCTACAAGTCAACGACCGGTAACAACACAGAGTTAGAAGACCTGATAAACAAGTCGGACATTAATGTTTATTGTAATCGTATCACATCTTTTATCACATCATTGTTCTTTTACTTTGATTCATCATTGAATTATCTACCTTGGTTTCGTTACACTATATAAAAAAAGAGAACGTCGTGTCCGTTTTCTGTTACTGGTGATGGTTGAAGAGGTTGTGAATGTTTTCAGTCAGCAGTACTTTCAAGTGGGATTGGTTCATGTCCCGTTAATTGTTCCCTAAGTATCCCATGTCAAACAAACCAAATTCCCTCATCTATTAAATTTAGACAACATGCATGGTGCAGAGCAGGAGAATATTGCCTTGTTACCGTAGTCTATGACTTAGTACCAAATTCAACAGCAAGAGAAAGCTGTTTTAAAGAATTAAAAAAAACAAAAAAACAAGCAAAATATAAAAATCCCTTTTAAAAAAAAAAAGAAAGCTTATCTAAAGGGGAAGAACTCCGCCCAAAATGATCTCTAACTAAATGTACAAGTTATTTCCCTTGTTCGATATCAAACAAAATAATTACCAATAATTAATTGACTAATTGAGTACTACTGTATTTTTGTTTATTGATTCGTGTTTTGGTAGGTACAATAAATAATTGTTTAAAGTACCAAGTTGGTTATTGAAAGGGACTAAACCCAACAAATGTAACCATATCTGAGAATATCAGTACTGAAGTATTAGTTTCCCTTGTTCCTATCAAACAAAATAATGAAGTATCAATAATCGATTTTTCGATCGGTTACTTTTTTTTTTTTATTCATTTCTTATCTATGCAAATGAACATTCCTCGTCCCATATGCTAGGACAAATTTGTACAAATACTCCTTCTTCCCTAGTGCCATTAGAGCATGGAATGGGTTGCCTGAGCTAGCCAGGAAAACTAGTGACTTGGCAGAATTTAAGTCATTGGTTAATATGCATGACTAAACGCGTAGGACGTAATCATCTTCTTATTGAAGTAACGTCTGTATTATACAAGATAAGATAATAAACATGATCCAAGAATGAAATCATGTGTACACAGTGAATACACACTTGCTATTAATAGACAAAGTGAACAGGCCACATAGGCTTGAGCTATGCATAATAAATATACCGGTATGCGAAAAGGTAGGTCTAAGAGAAATCCACAGATCTGAACATTACACACAAAATTGTTAGGCCTCTGTTCTCAACGCACTGATTAATGAAGAAATAATACAGATCAAGAATTAATTGACGTCTAATTTAAGGCTAAACAGTTGCCTACAGATATGGACCAGCTGCACGTCTAGTATTACCTGAAAGGAGAGACAATGTTGTAAAAAATTGTACCGGGTATTGTTTCCGGGTACTACTGATATATGCTTGTTTTCATTGAATTTAAATTTTTATCTTACTGGTAAAAATGTGGGAGAGAAAAAAGCAACAGCACCGGTCGGTGTCTTGTAAGAAAGAAACTAAAAATATAAATTAAAAAAAAAACAAAAATTCGACGTATTTTAAATTATTTACTAAGCTAAAAAAAAAAATACTAATAAATTATTGTTTATCTATAATTTGACTATCGTTACCGCACATTGCTCGTTACAATGACATGGGAAAATAGCGTGTATGTAGTGTGTATAAGCTAACAAGGGTAGTAAATACTTCTCTTCTCCAATCTAAGTTGTCGTTTTTGTACTTTCGTTCATTGCTTGTGTGCTGTAAAGTATGGTACAGCATTGTACCTTAATATCAAGAGCTTACAATCAGGTGAATTTTTGCTACTTAAGTTATTTTGTTCAATAAACAGTGGTACCAGTCAAAACTGGCATGATTTACTTTCGGTTATTATTTCGGTATAATTAGATGGTTATTCCCTGTCCTACTGGACAACTTTCATCAACGCTTCTGATCAAAGCTGTAAGGTGCACTGAAGACTAAGTAATTAGGACTTGGATCTCTAAATGACAAGTTCAAAATGGTGTAGTTTGGCAACAGATGTCATTCAGCGAACATGAAAAGGAAATTTGACGCAATGACAATCATAGTGGGTCAGTTGATGCAACGCAGGCCAACACTTATTATTACTGAGGAGCAGTAGATCAAAACTATTTTCATAGTATGTGCTAGTATTACACCACAGCCCGAATAATAAAAAAAAAGGCTTAGAAGACTTACCATGATATTGATATAAAACGCCCCCCCCCCCCCATATGTTTTATTGTCAAGTAAAAACTCGTTTTGGGCAGGGAAAGTTTTATCATTGAGGGCAATTTCTGGTATCAAAGATTTTGAGAACCTTTTGAATGTATGCCAAGATTTGAGAACCTTTGGAGTGTCTGCCAAGATTTGAGAACCTTTGGAGTGTATGCCAAGATTTGAAACCTTTGGTGTGTATGCCAAGATTTGAGAACCTTTGTAGTGTATGCCAAGATTTGTGTATGCAAAGTGTTTTACCATTCAATCTCTATATTGTTGTTTTGTTAAACTGATCCAAACACATTCCCCACTATTAAAACAAATCCAAACATATTCCCAAAGGGTCCTCTTTCCTGTCATCATCATTCTAGAACCTGCCCAGAGAAGAAGTGATCTAAGCAAAACCCAACACACATTTCAACAAAACAAAGCCAAAATAACAACTAAAGGTTCTGACAATTTGAATGTATTTCTTTGTAATTAAAAAACAACAATCTTCTTAGAAGATACCAAAAAAAAAATCATTTGCAGATTTACATGGAAATAAAAAAAAATAATTACAGGTATTGAGTCCACTTTCAAAGTTTTTTGAATGCAGGCAATAATATCACAAGAATTTGATTTTCTATATTACATAATATGTACATTATTAGTTGTAACATAAATAACAAAACAGTCGTTAAGTATGGGTTAAGCATATTGAGTCAACACTATATAGTCATAGTTGAACAAACTTAGTTGCAAGCCAAGGTATAAGGTATACTTATGCTATGTTGTGCCTAGGGTCGCCTCTTAATGTACATGCAGCATTTAGAGGACTGCCCATTTTGAGTAGCTAGTTGATTATGGGTAAGCTATAGAGAAGGGTAATAACAGAAAGTTTACAGTTGGGTATATCTGATTATTTCTGGGTTTGGAACCACAGTTATTAAGTCCAAAACCAAAAAAGGATGTTACAACAATGGCCATAGTAATTGAACAAGCAGTGCAACTATTAGAGATCATAAAATGGAAAATTGTGTGGTTTAAAAGACTTCTTGAAATACCAAGATTATCATTTAAAAAAAAACTAGGAATTTGTATGTTAGCCCTTACAAATCTAATGTCTTTTTTATACATGAAAAGTAACAAGCATTGAGTAATAGATAAAAGTAAAAGTAAAGATAATTGAAAATGGAAGCTCAAAAAAAAAACAAAAAACGTCTTAAATTTAAAACCTTTTTTTAAAGTAAGCATACATATTTTGTTTTGACACACACAAATTCAGCCTACCTTGGCTTTTACAGTAAAGAAATTTTATCAAGCTAAATTATCTTTGAGCAAGAAGACTTACACCAGCAAAAAAAAAAAAGGAAATATTTTTTTTTCCTTAACATTTTGTTTTTCTAGAGAACAGATAAGCCACTTAGAGAATATCTCAAATTTATCCAAGAATAAAACTCTTTACAAATAAATGTTATGTTGAAAGACAAAAAAAAAAAAAAAAAATAATAATAACTACAACTAAAACAGAATTATCTCCATCACAGGTTGTTTTGAAAAATTTGGCTGCTGACTAGATTTTTTTTAAATGTTTTTTTTTTTCCCCTTGGTTTGAAAGAACTTTATTAGCCTCATTGCCTGATAGGATTTTTTAAATGTATAAATGTAAATTTTTTCAAAGAAATATTCAATGACCATTCGCTGTCTGGGAAGTGTGTGTCATGTTTTCCAGTGAGATCAAACTATTTACAGTTTAACAAGTATGTCTTGCTTTTAGTGGCAATGTTCTCAGATAAATCTGAGGTCAGAGTCTTCAATACTGTGCAAGACGGAGGCATTCTCCTCTGAGAAAAGGTTTAAAAGAGCTAACTGTGTGCTCTCTGCGGAAGACAAGTCCACTGAACTGGCAGAGGGAGAGGATGACGGTGAGGCTGCATTTGAACATGGCCAAGACCTAGAGGACACCGGAGAGTCTTGCGAACTGTAATAGTCCAGAGATGACTTGACACAGGAACTACCAACAATGTCTTCACTGTATCCAAAGTGCTGACTATGCCTATCGGTTGACAGAAAGGAGAATTTTAAATAACCATTACAGTTTGAGGTGGCATCTTTATTTTGATGGACCAGCATTTGTGGGCAAGAAGAATCCTGGACAAAGTCTTCGAGATCAACAAAAGACTCAAGGTCCAACGATGGAGCCAGGACGATCAACTGCTTTTGTTGTTCTGCAGCAGAGTTACTAACCCTTGGCTCAATTTGATCTTCCTGGAGCCAATTCAAGAGATCTCTGGTGGCATCATCCTCACTACCCTGTTGTCTTACAGCATCCTGCATTGCAACATCTTCCTCCTCTTGACCACACAGCTGGCCAGATAGTTCTGATGCAAAGTCAAAAGAGGTATCAATTGTCAATGGCAACATCTGCTTTGGGGACATGACACTAAGAGTGCTCAGAGGGAAGCAACTCTGTTTGATGCTGACGTTGTTGTCTGATCTGGCCGGGACTGTTGTGTAGGTGTGAGATGATGCAGAGGAATACACAACCCTTGACACAGTCTCCCACTGTGAGCATGAGGAACACTTTTTAGTTGGCACTGCTTCTGATGGCACAGGAATGTCTGTGCAGACAATGTCAGGCTTGCAAAGAGAAACATCCTGCAGCACAACTATGCTGCTACCTGCAGGCTGAAGTCCTAGAAAACCCAAGAACTCCTCCTGATTGAGAATGACCGCCTCATGCTGGATACTGTCACTGTCATCCCCTCCAAAGAATGGAGGCCTTGATTTATCCAGCACTGAGTCAATGAAGTCTTGAAAACTGTCCTCCATTGCTACATCTGTGCAGGGGTCAAGGTCGGTGAAGTCTAAGGAATCTGTAAATTAAATAAGAAAAAAAAAATTAAAACGTCTGATGTGTACAAGTTTTATAATAAGAAAAGCTACTAAACCTGACCAACGCCTTTAATTTTATTCTAAAAAAAACGAACTGGTTTGGGTAGGTTTTAAACGGGTCCACTGTCTTTTTGAGGGCTCCACCCAACAAGAAGTTTTGTACAAGCTCAATCCCGGAAAGTTTGGGGGGGGGGGGGAGTTTACAAAATGTTTGCATTCACTTATGAGAAGGAGGGGACTCAGTCGCGCCATGTCAATGAGGCCACTTGAATCTCTTGACAATATTAGCAGCTGGCAAAACAAAGCCACTTGACAGGGGAGACTACTCTTCACAACACCAGCAGTAGAAGATAACTCCTTATACAAAATGGTATATAAAGACAACTCCTCATAACAAATGATATACAAAGTCCGTTTACGACTTCGTGCATTACATTCAAGGCTGGCATACAATCGTGAGACATATTACTTCCGTATCAGCTTTCATTAACAAATATCCGAGTAGGTAAAACCTATCGAGAAAATATTAAATATGCATATTTAGAGAATTTGTTTTAAAACAAAATAATTTTCAATCACCATATAAGAGGATTAATTTTCTAAATGAATCAAAGTCTGTAATTTAGTTTCATATTAATATAACTGTAAGAATACAACAGAGCATAACACATTTAATTGTATGCATACTAGATGGATAAGAAGTGTCACAGAAGTGTAAGAGGCTTATGGACTCGGCTGACCTAATTCATGAATAACCAAAGTAACCCGGAAAAAAAACAAGGAACTGTTGCTTAACAAAGGAGGGGGAATAATTTTTTTTTAAAAAAGAATTAGACGCTAAATGAAAAAGATTTTTTTTTTTACAAACTTGTGTGTGTGTTGTCACTATGAGTTCCGGTATAGCGATATGATTATACCGTACCGTCAAGAAAAATAAAAATATGAAAACTATTAATACCATTTTTGCAGCGCTGAATAATTCGTTAATAGGCGAATTGAAAGCAAAGGAAGGGTGACATATTGTAGTGTAGTTGCAATGGACCTCATTCACCAATCGTAAACAAACAACATTTAGCCACGTGGTTCTCTATCTCTTCTATATAATTTACGATCTAATTTTTACTACACGATGGCTGTCACGTGACAGTTTTTTTTTTCGTTGTTTTATCACCATTATGCGAACCCTCGGTTCGGAAGCCAAGTGCCTTACCACTCATCCACCGCCCCTCCTTCCATGCATACAAAGAAAAAAAAATGCAATGGAAAAAAAAGTGTTTTTTTTTAAACCTTTGACTTGTGACAAAAGAATGAAAAAATAGTACAATAAAAAGAAAAACATCATTCATGCCGTCTTCTGTGCCATTCGGATGTCTTTCATCATATACAAAGTTTCGCACCGCGTTGCAGCAACAAACCAATAATTAAAAGGGGTCAAGGATGAAACTCGCACATTACACAAACTCCTACCGAACACGACGTATTCATAACAACTGAGAGATTGAATGAAGAAAAAAAAATAATTTAAGATTTCAGAAGACGAGAGAACAAAGAACAATGGGTTAAGTTAACAAAAGGGGCTGAGTGAACAATAGAGAAAGGTGAGAGAGCTAATAACAATAGAGATTAAAGATAAGGGGAGAGAATGAACAATAGGATTATGTACAAGTAAGACTAACGGGACAGAACCTGTCCTACTATTATATAACAATTAAAAATACTTTTTATATTAACATCTGCAACCTATATCCCAAAGCGACTGGATAAAAAATAATTTCGACATGTGTTATGAAATAGACCCCTGAAACTGCCCAGCTATCAATCACGTGACACAATTTATCCCACGCGATTTCATCTGTATTGAAATAGAAGCACGTTGGCATACACACATACACACGTAACTACGCTAGAGCCTTGAGAGTAGACCGATTTAAACCGTTATCCAAAACCCGATTAACTTTTAAAAGAAAAAAAATCGTATTATTCTATTCAGTGTCGGTACTGTGTAAAGTGCGCAGGCGAGCTCCCTAATAAAAGGGCAGTAATTTCAAATGTAAAAAAAAGACGACATATTTTTTTTTAAATCGATAGGGTTAAAAATAGCTCAAACGAAGTGTTAGCATCCGAAAAGACGAGACTGTTTATACAAACAAACCAACAATTATATATATATATATATTATAAACTTTTGCAAATTACCATATGATCAAACGATTAATTATAAATTGATCAAAGTTCACCCCTGCTGCTAATTGATTGCCTCGGCAGGTGTATCCCATTATGCTAAGCTTGCATCATCATTTCCTCGTGGTTTCCAAACAAAACAAGCCACTCTCCGAGTAACACGTGGAAAGCAGCGCCCCCCCCCTTCCACATCTCAGGACGTGACCTCTGACGTAATCAGTAAAGATCGGGTCAACATACAATCTGTCTGACCTCGTGTCGACCGCTGTATAACTTTGGAATGATAAGACACTACCTAGGCACGCATGTTACGCAGTTTATCTGGCGAGCTAGTGGGCGGCTCCAAACAAAGAGTACATTCATCGATACGTTAAATGCCATGGTTTCTAAAGAGGGAGCCTTCCCACCGAGGGCTAAAGTACCTCGAACATTTTCTACGGTAACCTTTATAGTATAAAGCAGTAGGTAAAGATTATGTCCAGATGTGAAACTGCGCATAAGCCATTTAGTTATATGTACCTAGTACGTGTTTTTATAGCTGAATTGAACTCAGATTCCCATTTCAATTGTGTCCTAATGATATCACTATATAAAAATATAATAGTTATAAAGGACTCCCTTGGATAGAAGAGTATTTGAAATTATGCGAAAGTAAAAATAATTATGCTGGCCACACGTCACACAACTATTAGTCATGGAAAATAGGTGAGTTGAACCATTGAACTTGACGCAAACCAAAGCCTTTTTTTACTTCTGAAGTACTCGCGTATCGGATGAGACTAAAATGATTAAGTGGCGAGACAATAACTAATCATGACCGGAAGTAGGCGTTGAAAACAATGTGTAACTGATAATACAGTATTGGGGTTAAGTTATTTGGAATTTGTTTTAATTTTATATCTAATGCAGAGCGCAATGAAATTGGCACGATATGGTCTGACGACCTAGTGAATAAACGATGTTGCTTGGTTTTGATCTTGTGAGATCTGTGAATATTGTGGTATACATCAACATGAATAAAAGCAGCCGATCCGGTATATTCTAGATCAAGATAACGTCGGGGCGTAGGCCTATCATACAAGTATTACAAGTCATTGAATTGTTGTGTCTAACGGTTGAGGATGACATGGAGGCTATATGCACGGAGAAATACCTTTGCTTTACCTGTTTGTGATATCAGCGACAAACCACATACTTGAGGATAAAATAAACAACATTTCACTCATTCATATTTAAATTCCCCGTACAACTGCAACAATAAATCATAACTTGTCCGGCGCGATAACCCTGTCAGGTGAACGCCCCTCGGCTAATATGCACTTTACGTATGGTGTTTAACTGGAACACAAACTAGAGACTTCATCTGGATTGGATCGAGCGTTTATCTATTCTAGACAGTCCACGAGGGCAAAAAAATTTTTTATCTTGACTAAT